TAAAATTTTTTATTAGAATAAAGAGAGTTTATGATTTTTTGAGTGCTCTAGTTTGTACGTGCATCCTCTCTTTCTCAGTTGAATTTGCAGCAACAATTAAATTCTTTTTCTATTTTACACTAAATGAGGTGTGTTATAAATTATAGACTAACATAAAAAACTAGAACTAATAAATCTTTTTTCAAAACAAATAAATTTAAAAGCATTTTATACAAAGATTTTTACTTTTATCATTAAACAATGTTTCGACGGACTTGCAAACGAAGTGAAGAAAATCAGGACTAAATGGGAAGAATTTCATAATAAATTATCAGACGCTGAACAAATTCTGTCGCCCCCTGTCTCCCAGTGGTATGCCTGCGGACTTTTACCTCTAAAAACTGCACAGACATTCTATTATGTAGTTTTGTGCTTTATCAAATAAAGACACAAACAAAACAAATTCTGCCAAGTAAGAAACATGTACGTAGTTTCCAAGCAACACGGAAGTAGTGACGAAAAAGATGATTGGCTGCACAAGTCTTGTGCAGAGGAATATTAGTTATGACTAATCGTTACACGACCAGAAAGTCGATCAAAACACGAGAAGGTACTGTTCTCCTGTGTCTGTCATATGTTGAATATCTGTTAAGTTAGAACTGACATTGTTCAATACGTTCAATCAAAGTAATAACTCATATTGGTAAGTTGAAAAATGTTTAGTGAATTTGTTTAAAATTAAGCACAAAGCTATACAATGGGCTATCTGTATTGTGACCGCCACTGGTATCGAAACCCGGTTTTTACCGTTAGAGGTCCGTATATATACAGCTTTGCCACTGGGGGTGTTTAGTGAATGATCTGTGATCAAAGCATGAGCTTTATCGAAAAGTTTAAAAGTCACACGATCCATGCATATATCTTAATAGTTCTTACTAGAATAATGTTCTTGCATTTATTTTTCCGTGTTTCTATTCTCAGCTAACTTTTATGAAACTAAAAAATTAATTAAGAAAAAAAATGTTCTAGTAATATTAGTTGTGTGACAATGGCAGTCAGTGGCAAAAATGGCATCATTGCAGTGAGCAAAAAGTGGTACTATTTCTTCCCAGAATGATAAGAAAATAGCAGAAAAAATGTATGTTTATGAGTTTTACGTAGTATTTCATTTGATCTTACACTATTATGGTGCTATTATTACGGGTGACATTTATTTCAGGAGGTATTACAACTAGATACCTAAGAAAACATATTGAAAGTGTCTTCTAAACATTTTATTTTGTTCAGGTCATTTAAACTGTCATTATAATTGTATATGTATATATAAAACATATATATATATGTGAAAGATTTCTTTTTCATCAGAGGTGAAATTGAAAAGTGAATCTGTGACATAGAGGCCTAATGCGTTATGCATTCCTTGATAGATCCAGATAGAGCATCAAAAGTTGGTAGACATAATTCTTTGCAACTTCATTCATCTTCCAGTCGTCCATGCAGGAACTTTTGAATTTATTTCTTTTTTTCACAAGTACAGTAGATGATGCCCATGAAATAGTACTATTGCTCCTTGATTTTTACAGATTTCCATCCTTTTGAAAACTTCAGCATGTTTTACAAGTGGAAGTTGTCTGGCTTACTCATGTATTGGGGCAGCATGTCTAGTATCAATCTTATGGAATATTTGTTCACCTTAAGTCATGAGGTCCACTGAGGAAGGTGTCGTGATATTCGGTGAACAAGTTTAGTAATCCTTTGGAATAGATTATGTGTAAAACTGCTGCAGCTCTGCTTATACAGCTCTTGTGGGGTGTAAGCTGTCTTTATGTGAGGATTTGATATCAGACTTACCACATCATTAATCAAAGGTAATTACTTTTGTTGTTCTTTATTTGGAAGTACTCCCTGTAAAGCAGTACATTTTCTAATGTCCCATCCACATTTGACCCTAATGATTATATTTTTATTATTTGTATCCACAATAATTCTACCAACCATTAATTCTTCAGGACATGCTGGAGTGCTAGGTTCTTTATGAACCAGTCACAATATGTAAACTTAATCTTAACAAGTCCTGGTATGAGTATTTCACTTGTTCGTGGCACAATCACTGCTCTTCTTGTTGTCATGGGTATTTCAACTTCTGGTGTTGTAATTGTTATGTAGTTCACAGGGATTATGTAGTCAAGAAATGTAGATCTTTTGAAGCTAGACTAAATTTGCATCTTTGTCTCTGCATGAAGTCAATTCCCATATGCTCTCTTTCTCAGTAATCTCACGTCATGAGATGTAGAGAAGTATCCCACTGTAGGCACAGTTTTAAACTTTCCTTTTTCTACTTGCTTCATTACTCCTTCTTTCTTCCTCTCTGTAGGCAATTTCCCAACTTTCAATGCCAAATCAGGTCAAACTACTGTAGATGAAGAACCGGTGTTGATTAACATTCTACAAGGCTTCCCATCAAAAACACAGACCTGCGAATTTAAACTTCATAAAAGTTGTTTTTGGTTTTAATAATGGACTTTCCATGATTCGCAGATATCGGAAATAATATTCATTTTTTTTCTATCACATAAGGATTCTTTGCAAATCGGGAATAAAAAACGCTTACTCAGATAATTTTTTTTACCACAATGAACATTTTTTACTATTATGTTTGTTATGTTTGGGTTCTAGAACGATCGATAAGACTCTCATGTTGCGATTAGTCTTGAGTAATCTTTAGCTTTGGATATTCTTTTATGGTGTGTCACTCTAACCTTGTTGTTTAAAGTAGTTACTAATGCTTGATAGTTGTTATAGTTCTCATCTGGAAGGTTATTCAATGTTTTCAAAGCTGGTCCTTTTAAATGAACAGCAAGAAGACTAACTTACTATTCATTAGCCCATCCATTGGAAATGATTTTGAATTGAGTCTTGTGTGTTTCCTATAATACCCTTTTATCATAATCTGTTGATTTCTTCATTGGTGGATAGTGACTTAGTCAGTTAAATATTGTAACCTGATTTCGTATTTTTATGTCTGGAGTAATCCATGAAAACCTAGCACTAACAGATGGGAAAGCAGCAGTGGTAATAGGTGTAGGATAAATAAGTTCTTGTATTCCATATTTGTACTAGATGGAGTCTTGTGTTGAAATTCTTGGGTAGATGAAGAAACAGGCGCTACTGGTTTGATCTTTACATTTACTTTTTATTTTACAAACCTATTCCATCACTGATGTTCTTTTCTACATCATTGATCTTGTTTCTATAATTTTTCTGCACTTCTTTAATTTTTTCTTTAGAGCCTTGTCGTTGTAATCGTTTGTACATCTCCAAAAGCTTCATGTATGTTCTCTTCAGTCATATTGATATCTGTCCTTAATTTTTCTTGAAATATGATATCTCTTTATTTTAACTTCTCTGTCTTGAATTCTTACACTTGACCTTCTAACGTTCCATGTCTTTTTGTTCTTCTTTTACTTTTCTATAAATTTCTTAAATGTCTTATTTTGATTTTATATCTAGTTCGTTTTGGCCTTCTTTGAATTTCCTGTCTCTATATTCTTCATTTTCTTTTAACTGTTTTAATAACTCCAATAAATATCTAATATTTCCTCGCGAGGTTATCTTGAAAGTAGATATTCACTTTTTTTCTATTTTATTTTCACCAAAATAATACCACATCTAAAATCAGTGTTGCAATTTTGTTCTTTTTTTACCCGGTTCTTTTAAATATTTGGTGAAAATAAGGTCCTTTCCATTCCTTAATAGGCTACTATTACAGACGATAAAACAACTGCCACACAGGCTTTCCTGGAGTACTAGAGACAGCATCAAGATGCAGCAGATATTAAAGAAGGAAAGCATACAGCTTTCAGAAGGGGTGTGTAGTCATCTTTAGTTTTTGTTCACTTTTTCGAATGAATGCCATGATGCACATTGATGGCTCTCTATTCATGATGTCAGAAAAACACGTAGGTTCCATAAGTCTTGATAAAGACCCTGTAACCCGAATGTTTTCGAAAGCTTGACCATTTTATTCAGGGGCAAACTGGGATGTTTGTCTATTATCACAGACAGACAAATGTCTGGATGTGTGGAAGGAGTCAAATGTTTCAGAACTTTGGCATTGGCTTCTGGATACTGACAATAGAGTTAGATGACGAGAATGAACCCTATAAGCCAAGATTGTTTTCAGCATTGAGATATAGCAGATGTTAAAGGATAAAATAATACAGTCTTTGGAGGTGTGCCTGGTCATCTTCAAGTTCTGTGTTGACTTCCGCTAGGTAAATTTCGTAAAATATATTGTTGCCTTTCTATTACAATAGGCAGATGAATTTCTAAACTTTTGAAAAGTATCCAGTGGTTCAACACTTTAGCTCTGGTGTCCAAGTACTGGTAAGTTAAGCTGAATGAACAAAGCAGAGCCAAAAACTGCTTACAGTACTTGAGATGGTTCAAGTCCTGAGTCAAACTATCCAGTCTTTGCAGTGCTCTGGCCTCTTTCAAGAAGCTAATGGAGCTAATGTTTAATGAACTGCAATGGAAGAGGTGCTTGGCTATGTGAAAGATATCTTAATAATTGGGAAGATGTTTGAGTGTGCAGCCATTATTCTAACGATGGTACTGCAGCATATAAGAACGGCAGGATTAAGGCAAAACATGCCTTCTTGTCGAATATGGATACCGATATTAGTGGAATTGGGGCAGTGTTGCACAGTCACGGGATAGGGTTGAACATGTGATAGCGTATGCAAAACATACACTTACAGCTTCTGAATGCTGATACTGCATGACAAAGAAAAGCTTCTTGCAGGTGTATTATTCATAAAACACCACTGACATTACCTGAATGTTAGAAAGTTCAATCTTCCTGTTAACAGTATTTACTTAAGTGACTCATAAACTTTAAAAATCCAAAGAGAATGATAGCATATTGCAGGAGTATGACATGATAATATGGCATCATCCGGGAGCACAATATGGAAATACAGACAGAATATCTAGCCACATAGCGAGACCCTGTTTATTAGTTGAATGTTTTGAACCTTTATATCATATAAGCCATGCTTACACTAATGGTTGATTACCAAAACCACATTGAAGAATTCCGGGAAGAGAAATTGAAGGAATCCGAACTAATGTGGAGCTTTTTGTTATGCATTAAGTTAATACATGATCAACATATATTGAGGAATGTGGCGCAGCTCAAGCAGTCTGTGACATTTGCACAAGAAATTACAAGTGTGTGATGGTGTACTGTAAAATTATATGGCATGTTTGAGTCTTAATGTTCAGTGCTGGTGTAGGCATTCTATTATGTGTGACATCCATTGGAAACTTAGCTTATACCGCGAAAACTACATCAAAGAATTGTTGACTCTCTTCTACAGAAAATAGTCCCGGTTATTGTTGATCTTCTCACCAAGATGGTGTGAGGTAATTAATATGTACTGGTCATTATAGATACTTTACTAATTGAGCTGAAGCCTATTCGTTGGTTGAAATTTTAGCATAATCTGTTGCTGATATATTGGTAGACCAATGTAAAGCCCAATTCAGGACCCCAGAAGAGATTCACATAGTTCAGGGAACTAATTTCAACAGTTAGTTGTTCTCTGAGGTGTACAAATTGTTGTGTGTGTGTGGTAAAGATGTTACTTTTTTATCTTATCACATCTAATCAGATGATTTGAGAGAGTAGGAAATACAGAC